ACTACGTAGTATGGAGTATCATATTAGAATATACGGAGTACCATTGGACTAAAAGCAGATGGGGCTTTTGCATGCTTATCCAAGTTTCTTTAATTTAATCTTAATTTTAAAAATTGTGAGATTCCAAGAAACATTTTAGATCGAGATTGAAGCTGAATTACTTTGAACTTTCGTTAATTTCTTTTTTCTTCCAAAATAAATGATAGTCTAATATCAGTGTCAAAAACAACGGTGTTGATACGAAATTAACACCAATTAATCATGTTTGGTATACATACATATTTTTTACATGACTTTCTGCTAAATAGCCGGTGACAAAATAGTTTTAGCAAATATTTTATCACGGACTTGACAAGGAACTGTGAATCCATGTCTATTCGGTGCCAAGAATCATACCAAACAAGTTTTGGCACAGATGGTCACACATACATTTATGTATATATACACACTTGGTTTATACTCCATGAACGATTAGTGCTTGTTACATATATATTGTGCATACCATGAAACTGAAAATCATGCCGATTGTTCTGTGTTTTTAACTTAATTTGGTGTTTGGCCAAGCGGAATCTTCTGTGTACAATCTTTACTTATGGAAAGCTCTTTTAGGTTAGAATTAGACTCATTTGGATGGTGGAGGAAAGAGTAGTGTCTCATACCCATTCTTGTGGCCCCTAACATATAAGATATCCCAACGATGCAAGTCAAACTTTATTGATCAACTCAACTGGTCAACCCATGAAGTAGACTGTTAGGCACGCCGGCTAGGTCCGATGTCAAACCCATGACTATATATAGACTCTCCGACTACACAGGTGTGTAGCCTAATCCGGTATGGACTAACACAGTTTGTCAACATGCATGACTCCAAAAAGATATGATTATATAATTTATATCTTCCTTTTGTTGAAACTAAATTTGATTTTTCATTCTAACAGGTCAACCTTATGGAAGAAGGAGTCTAGAGTAATCGTATATGTACATTTTATTATTAATATTATTTATATAGTGTCCTGGCGTAGAACAAATATTTTGATAAATCTTCTTGAATTATTTATTCAACACAACAAAATATGAAATATTGAGCTAATTAATATACTAGTATAAGATATCCGAATATATAGTATACAAAATCTACATCTTGATTGGGATTAAACTACTCCTTATGAGTGCCAAATTTATATGTAGATAGATTGTTTGTTTTTACAGCTTTAACCTCTATGCTTTAGGTTAGCTCGTTCCAGACTTGTTTGATGCACTTATCCACTATTAAGCTATTTGTTTTGAACAAAAAGTGAGAATATTGGAAATGAAGGTAACGTGTAAGTGCTAGGGGGTGATTGAATTGGTAAATTTGGGAATTACATTTTTGGGAAGTGGAAAGGTGAAGAGAGGATATATATGATCTCCCCTAGCTTTATTGTTTGAGAATTTTCAAAAATGAAAGTGGTGACATTAATTGGAGTCTTCTTGTAACTTTTTGGTAACCTTTCAAATACTTTATTTTTATGTTTTGAAGAACTCTTTTATCCTAGCTTGTCAATGAACATTTTTAGCTACATACTTGATATGTTTCAAAATGGTTCGTCAAATTGATTATTCTTGGTCAATTGTAATCAACATTGATCAATGACATTTTTGTAAATTACATATATAAATGTAATAATTAAAATCATTATTTAAAATCTGTCAACATTGACTAAGAAAAGTCAATGCGACACATATTTTCGGGACGAAGGTAGTAGCAATAAGTATGAATCCCAGCAAGTGTGTGAATATATTCACCTGCATTACTTTTAATTTTTATATAATTTTTCTGTGATGTTTTGTATTTTGAAATGTGACTTTAAATAGAAATAATGATAAATATATGATTAAAATAAATGCAATGGACAAAAACGACTTTTTATATTTATATGATACCAAATATATACTCCCTCCATCCCAAAATTAACTTTTCACTTCCTTTTCAAGCAGTCCCGAAATTAACTTCACACTTCAAAACTTTCTTTATTTGGCAAATAATCTACATCAAAAAAGTGTCAAACAGTGCCAAACAGTGCCAAACAGTGCCAAACAGTGTCCAAACAATGTCAAATAGTGTTTAAACAGTGCAAAACAGTGCACTCCACAGTAAAATCAAATTTATTTTCTTAATCTGTGTGAAGTCAAACTATGAACTTAATTACGGGACGGAGTGAGTAATAGCTTCAATGACCATGATCGTGATGTTTTAATTTATAGAAATTACTTCAAATAGGACTAAAACTATGACAAAAACTCAAAATAGGACTTGCTATGTTTTTTTTCCCAAAATAGGACCATAGTGGTCATATTGGAAACATACTCATTTCTTCCTTCCATTCTTACCCCTCCTTTAAACATTAGTAAAAGATAGCTAAAAGTCATAATTAAATGTTTAATTCATAATAAATTCGAAAAAATTTCAATAGTTCGTAGAAAAATAATAAAAAAATTAATAATATTTTTATAAAATAAAAAATAAGAATTCTTTTTTTAAAAAATTAATAAAAAAATAGTAAAACTCCATAAAAAAAATTAAAAAAAATATGGATACGTTTCCCACCGCCTGTACTACCTCCCTGAACCACCACCTCCGATCGGTGTAAAAAATGCCACTTTTTTTTTTAAATTCCACAAAAATGGCATATTTCTCTATGAGAATGTCAACATTTTCATTCTGCCAACTTGAATCCTTTTGACTTTTGCCAAAAATATGGCATTCATAATTTTTTTGGCATTTTTTTTACCCCGGTGACAGGAGGTGGTGGTACCGCCTCCCTGCACCACCACCTCCGACCGTTAAAAAAATGTCATATTTCCTACAAACTTCCATTTTTTTCGGAAAATGCCAAAAATATGGCATATTTCTCTTTGAGAATGCCAACATTTTTTTTCTTCCATCTTAAATCATTCTGAATTATGCCAAAAATATGGAATTCATAATAAATTTGGCATTTTTTCCCCAAATGACTAGAGGTGGTGGTGCTGGGGCGGTATAGGCGGCGGTGACAAAAAAAATATTTTTTTGATTTTTTTTTAATTTTTTTTTATTTTTTTTACTTTTTTATTTTTTTTTATTTTTTTTAAATTTATTATTATTCAGAATATTTTTATTAATTTTTTGGTATATTTTACGAATTTTTATTATTTTTTATTATTTTATTATGAATTAAAACATTCCAATAGGTATAAGGGTATATTTGTCCAAGACAAACATAATTAGTCCTATGGAAACATAGTTTATTTTTTGGTCCTATTTGTGCAAAGTGAATGACTTTTAGTCCTATTTTGACAATTAACTCTTTAATTTACATATGATGATTTAATTATAGTAACTTATGCCATACTTTTTCCATTACTTTTATTTAAACAATATGTAAGGAAAACTCATATTAAATGTTGTCATTATTTATATGTATAAGAAATTTTTAGGAAAATATCAAAGCAACTACTAAGGATGTTTTCTTTTGGACTGTTTTCAGTCCCAGACCAGACCAGACTTAAACAGACCAGGCCAGACCAGACCAGACCAGACTTCCATAGTTATAAAATACACAGAGACCAGACGTTTACCAGACCAGACCAGATCAGTTCAGACCAGACCAAACTTAAACAGACCAGACCATACTAGACCAGACCAAACCAGCAAATTTCAGTCCAAAAGAAAACATCCTAATCCAAACACTATGGATGTTTTCTTTTGGACTGTTTTCAGTCCCAGACCAGATCAGAACAGATCAGACCAGATCAGATCAGACCAGACCAGACTTGATTTCCGTAGTCATAAAATACACAGAGACCAGACGTTTACCATACCATACCAGACCAGTTCAGACCAGACCAGCAATTTCCGGTCCAAAAGAAAACATCCTAAGAATCACGGGCCAATTTTAATATATATTATGCATGATTCCTACAAATAATAAATCATCCATAATCCCTTTTTCCAAATTTATAACTTCCAATAGATTATTTTCTCTCTATCCCTTCCGCATTTCCCAGTTTCCCTAACCTTCAAACCCTTCTTCCCCTTTACTCCCAACCTTTGAAAAGTAAGCGAGGCATGTCTTTGAGTAAAGGCAGAGAATCAAGTCCATAGAAGTCGAACAGCGAAGTTGCCTAAATTTGTTTTATTTATTAAAATGGTTACTTTTCTTTACCACAGCTAGAAAATTGATAGAAAGAGTACGGCTATTTTTGGAATTCAAACGATTAATAAAAGTAGGTATATTACGTTTAGACTATTATTATATCCATCTCATAAAACTTGGCCAACTTTCCATTTTTAATTAGATCGTTCCAAAATATTTTATCATCTCCACTTAAAAAATACTGTGTACGTAGTACTACATATGTGTCTATAATTAATTATCTCTCTCCCGCCCAAATATTTAACCACATAATTTTTTATTTTATTATTTCGAGTGTAAGTCAAGTTTTAATTTATGAGCCCTCTGTATATCTTTTCAAAAAAAAAAATCTACTCCCTCCGTCTCAATTTGTTTTGCAAAGTCAACATTTTTTGGTCAACCAACAATAAAAGTCAATCCTCTATATGGATAACTAACTCAATTTTTAATAATTAAAATTTACATATTCATAAATTACATTAAAATGTCTTCAAAGTTGTAAACCCCAAATTAGAAAATAATTAAAAATTGACATCCTAATTAAGTGAACAAAACAAAACTGTTTGATCAAGAAAAGTCAAATTTGTAAATCAATTTGAGACGTAGTATTTTCTTTTCTTACCTAGCTAGCATTTTTAAAGTCCAAATAGTCTCCATTGTACGGAGTATATGCAAATGTAAGGGACAGGTGGACCGGTAAAAAGTTGTCGTGCGTGTTGATATTATTATTAAAACTATCCACTCAAATTGGAATAATTAATAATTGTACAACTCCTATATGGGCTACCATGCGAAAAAGAAAACTCCCAATTCACATGGTCAAACTATATACGGATTCTTTTTGGAGGAAAATTAACTTAATAATTACATATAGTTCATAATACACATATTCACAAGCAATTATAAATCCATCGTCATAATTCTCGGTGATAATAATAACAATACGAATATTGAAAATGAGTACGTACTAATAAGAATATGTATATTTAATTTGTAAATTATATAGGAAATCAAATGATATTCGATCTCGGTTGTATATATGTTGCTCTCCAAACCACAAAACCGTCAGGCATACTAATTTAATCACACCAGAAAAAAAGGAAAAAAAAAGGAAACGAAGATTTGGAGGAGCAGAAGCATAATAAATAAATGGGAAAGTTCCCGAAATGGGACTAAAAAAGTTCAAAAATTCCAAAATAGGACTGTCATGTTTTTATTCCCAAAATAGGACTAATTACTGCCAAATTTGGAAAATACTGTCATGTTTGAAGTCTGGTACTGCCAAAACATGGCAGTAATTAGTCCTATTTTGGAAATAAAAACATGGAAGTCCTATTTTGGAATTTTCAAACTTTTTTAGTCCCATTTTGGGTAATATCTCTAAATAAATAAACTAAAAACGAAAAAAAAAAAAACAGAAATTTGAGAGAAAGTAAATAACCAAACCTCATAATTAACGCGTGTGTGTTTAATTAAACATTTCATCAAACTACACAACACAAGTAGTGGAGTGAATGTTAATCAACTTGTGGCGTCGTGCCGATCATCACCGCCGCCGTGGTGTGAATGAGACCCGCTCACCGGCGAATCAGACACTCCGCCGCTGCCGGTCCGGTAATTGTTCATCCCGGCAAACATCCCCAACTGCCCTTCTCCCAACCCATTTCCCCCTCCGCCGAGTTGCTGACTAGGCATCAGCGCCACCGGGGTCGGAAAATTCATAAAATGCAGCCCACTCGACATCGTGCCTCTATACATAGCCGCCGCTGCGGCGGCGGCGGCGTTATTACTGACGGCTGACGGAAATGTCCATATCGGATCGCCGGCGGAGCTTCCGGCCATGACTTGGTTGGCCGGATTCGCCAGCATCCAGAAGTTGGCCGCCGGCGCGTGGTTCGTAGGCATCGTCCCAACACTCGACTGCAGCAGATAGCTCCCCATTTGGTGTTGCAAATCCTGCTCCTGGTGCCTCCGTTTCCGGCCGATGTCCTCCTCCTCCGACGCCGACGGCTCCATCAGGTCAATGGAGCTGTCCCGGATCTCCTGCTTCGCCGCCGCGGAAAGGTGCATATTCGCAGCCTGGAAATTCATCAGCGTGGTGGCCGAGCTTTCCGGGGACAGCCCCGGAAAGAGGCCCCGGCGCTGGGACGACAGGGAGAAGTTGGGGTTGAAATACTGCGACCGGAGCTGCGACGGCACCGACATGCTGGACCCGGAGCTGCGCAAGGAAATATTAAGAGACGTGAAATTGGCGGGAATGGTACCCGTCCCGGTGGCGGCAATCACGGCTGGCTCCGCCTGCTGGAGGAGCCACTCGATAGTTTCGCCGTCGGACTTGTGGCCGAGCTCGCGGGTGAGCTGGAAAACGCGGGCGGCGCAGAGTGCAGGCATGCGGATGCGCCGCCCGCGTCCATCCACTTTGGTGTGGCGGTCCTTGGTAGACGTCCGTTTCGGAGGCGGCTTCTTGGTCGTCTCAACCAATGCGGAGGAGGAGGCGGGGGCGGCTGAGGAGTTATCGACGGTGGAGATTGCTAGTGACGGATAAGGGACTATGGCGGTGGCGGAGGTGGAGCTGGAGCATGCTTCATCTTCTTTCTTCTCAAGTAATTGGAACGGAAAAGTGGGGCGGCTGTGGTGGTGGTGGTGAAGGTGGACATGGTCATCACCTCCTCGCTCCATGCGCACGCGGGTGACCGGTTATATATCTGAATCGAAACCCACCACAACTAACTTAACAGTGATGAAAACCCTGGGAAGATCTATCTAGCTATCAATCTATTATTCCTCCTCGATTCTCTCTCAACATTTCATCATGTTTTCTTTCAAGATGATAAAAAACAGTGACAAAAACCTTTTTTAAATTCTTGTGGGCTCTATGTATCTAACTCTAGCTATACCTCCAGATTCAATTAATTGATAAGGAAATTATAAGATGTATCACGTACTTTCTCCGTTCTTTTTTAGTTGCAACGGTCAACATTTCACACTTGCCAATGCACATCTTTGATCGTAATTATATCTTAATCTATATTAGTTAAATATAATTAAAAATCAGATTTTGAAAATTTGTAAAGAGATGAATTGAACAATATCTTTTTTTAAAAATAATTTTCGTAAAATAATACCGTAAAATGTAGTCAAAGTAGAACACGTGAATAGTGTAAAATTCAACATGTTGCAATTATAAAGAAACGGAGGATAGTATTATATTTGTATATTTGTCAATTAGTTTCTCCCTCTCTTTGTTATGTAGAGCTTCTCGACCGTGACAATATGCAGCATGATACATATGCAACATAAAGAAATAAACGCATAAAAATAAACGCATAAAAATAGATTAATGACATTTTTCTTTAAATGATCCTATGGACAAAGTATATGTTTAGTAACTTTTTCTCATAATCTTAATCACATTTAAGCACATGCAATATCTGTAGTTAGAAGTTGTACTTGAAACTATGGATACATACAAAAATATATAAGATCGTTCAAATAAGAATATATACGTCGTATCCGTATATGTAATTATTTCATCTATCTCATTCTAAAGTCCCGACTTCTCTTTTTTGGACGTCTCGTATAAAAGTTCTCATTTTAATTTGGGAAACATTAGAGAGAACTCCTGAATGACAATTTTATCATCAAATATATTATTAATGACCTCGTTATATTATACATCCGGGTGCAAAAAAACACGGGATTAGCAAGATTTTGGTAGGGATTTGGCAGGAATTTTGGCAAGGATACACCAAATTCGTGCCAAAACCACTTTGGCACGAGCTATTTGACAAAAATCGGTACATCCGTGCCAAAATCCCTGTCTATCCCGTAATTTTTTGTATTGCTCATCAAAATTATTTCTCAAAAGATAATTGTTTAAACAGGGTGGATGTAATACTTATTACTCCCTCCGTTCCTAAATGTTGTTCCAATTGCGGATTACGAAGGTTGACCGACGATAATGTTAAATGATCCCTGTGAAAACTCGGATTATTTTTAGTAATAAATAAAATTTACATATTCAGAAACTACACTAAACCCGCTACAAAGCCTGCAAAATTTAATTCAACTTTTATAAAATTTTGATATAAAAAGTAAGAGTTTAAGAGTGATTTAAGTTGACCCTCGATAAGCGAAATGGAACTTCTTTTAGGGACAGAGGGAGTAATTTTTTGTATTTATTATCTCTCTTGTTTTGGATCCATTACTCTAAGTTGTGCTTGGATTGGACTCCAAACGTCATGGTGTCAGTCTCCTAGCCTCCTGCCTCATGAGTCAAGACCGCATCTTATAAGGCTTTCTATGATTTGTCTCCAAATTTCTCTCCATATACTTTTCAATACAATCACATTACATATGTATTATTCGATTGAAAGAAAGATTATCACAACAATGTGTTAATGTAAATACTATTTATTATGAGACGAAGAGGCCGTTTGGCAATACATTTTTTCAGCTTATCAGGCTTATCAACCAACTTTTTCACCAAACACGTAACTTTTGCTTTCGCGCACTGAATTGTGTAATAAGCAGAAAAAGTAAGGTTAGAGTTACTCTTCAGGCTGTATTGGCTGAAGTTACAGTAGATGACCATTTTACATGTATTTTTTCTTTATTTTATTAATAAAATATATTTTAAAAATAATTTTTCTTAAATCAGCAGAATCAGCCAATGCAGCCACTTCAGCCTGAACTTCATAAATTTCAGCAGAATCAGCCATAACAGCTGATTTTCGTGCTACCAAACGGGCTCCAATTGGAAGTTTTGATTTCTATATATTATAGAATGGTATTTCCATTTGTTTTGCAATTGAAATTGTTGAACATTTGTCCCACACCGGAAAGCTATAAAACAATTAAACACTATATAAGGCTTTGGGCTACTCCTCCTATCAGGTTGACTTTTAAGGATGGAATCTCAGTGTAATGGATCGTCGTGTTACTGAGTTTAGCTAAGGGAGAAACAGAATTGTCAGTATGGGGGAGAGCATGAGAGAGAGATAGAATTGTGTTAATATTTCTTAGTTTTTCCATTCCTTCCTCCAAATATAATATAACCATATCTCATACAACTTAAGCCCAAATTTAATACAATTTATTATTCATATCAAATAGCCCAACAAGTATTGCTCTGGCCCAGTAATAATAGAACCAATCCGCATCTCTTCAATTTGTCTTCCCGCTTTAGCCTGTTTAATCGTTCCTCAGTGAGCCGTTCATCACATTACCCCTTCCTTTCATGAGATCCTTGTCCTCTAGGATTTCTGTTGATTGTGCGACAGTCTGGGTGCTGAAGAGTCCATCCTCATCTACTGTAGGAATGTCCGTAGAGGTGATGGAACGGGGGCTAATGCAGTTTTTCAATAGAGAAACATGGAAAACCGGATGTATCTTGGCTCCTTCTGGAAGGTCCAAACGATAGGCCACCTTTCCAACCCGCTCCACAACTGGGTAAGGTCCATAATAGCGAGCTACAAGCTTCTGATTCCTTCTATGTTGTACTGATTTCTATCTGTAAGGTTGTAGCTTGAGATATACCCTATCCCCCACTTGAAATTCTCTGTCAATACGATGTGTGTCAGCGTAGTATTTCATTCTTTCCTGAGCCAATTTGAGGTTTCCTTTAAGTTCTTGCTACAATTTCTGTCTTTGTGTGATTAAATCCTTGACCTCTGCCTTATTAGTCAAAAAAGATGGTGTGGGTAATGAAAGGGTGGGTGGGGAATACCCATACAAAGCCTCGAAGGGGGTAGTTTTGAGGCTGGTATGATGATTTGTGTTATACCAGTATTCAGCCATAGTTACCCAATTAACCCACTGTCTTGGGTTTTGATGGGCCATTGCCCTCAGGTATGCTTCCAAACATTGGTTTAACCTCTCCGTTTGACCATCAGACTGGGGATGGTAAGAAGATGTATAGCTCAGTTGCGTTCCCATCAAGTTAATAGTTGCTTCCAGAATCCACTTAAGAACACAACATCCCTATCTGTCAATATATCCAATGGTTGTCCATGTAATTTAAATATGCTGTCCAAGAACACCTTAGCCACTGTGGCTGCAGTATTAGGGTGAAAGAGTGGTATGAAATGACCAAATTTGGTCAATCTCTCTACAATTACCAAAATAACACTTTTTCCATGTGACTTTGGCAGTCCTTCTATAAAATCCATACTGATATGGCTCATAGCCTGATCTGGTATGGGTAAGGGCTGCAGTAATCCGGGGTAGGGGCCCTCTTCCGGTTTGACTCTTGCACAGGTTTCACATTCCTTTACCCAACCTGTTACATCTTGCTTCATTCTTGGCCAAAAGAAAATCTTCTTCATCCTCATAAGAGTTCCCTGAATCCCAGAGTGACCCCCAATAGCTGAAGCATGCAACTCCACAAAGATGGTGTGCCTTAAGTTTGTTGTTGTCCCTACTGCCACCCTTCCCTAATGTCTCACTATGCCATCCAGAATTTCAAAATCAGGGTGGGCTGTTGGTTCTTCCATTTTTTCTCTTATTATTTTTGAGAAGAAGTCATCTTGTTTATAACTTTCAATGACTTTTTGCACCCATACTGGCCTAACAGTAGAAAGTGACCAGCATTTCCCTTCAGCTTCCCCCTTCCTAGACAAAGCGTCTGCAACCTTGTTCCCAATTCCTTTCTTATACTGTATTTCATAGTCCAGCCCCAATAATTTGGTGATCCACTTTTGTTGCAATGGAGTAGTGATTTTCTGATCCAGCAAATACCTTAGGGCCTGTTGATCTGTTTTAATAATGAATTTATTACCCTGTAGGTAATTCTTCCACTTTTGTATAGCTAAAAGGACTGCTAAAAACTCCTTCTCATAGATAGATATTCCCATCTGTTTGGGTCCCAGTTTCTTGCTTAAGAAGGCAATGGGCTACCTTCTTGCATCAATACCGCCCTTATTCCCATTCAACTAGCATCTGTCTCCAATATAAAAGGCTTAGAGAAACCAGGGAGAATTAAAACTGGGGTAGTTGTCATTGCATTCTTAAGTTCCTTGAAAGCCTGATCAGCTTCATGGTTCCAAACAAAATTTCCCTTCTTAAGAAGTGAAGTTAAAGGCCTGCTGATGATACCATAGCCCCTAACAAACTTCCTATAATATCCTGTTAACCCCAGGAACCCCCTCAATTCCTTTAGGGTGGATGGATCTGTAGCCACACCATTTTCATCAATAATGTGTCCCAGATACGAAATAGAAGTCTGCCCAAATGTACACTTACTTCTCTTGGCATATAACTGATTAGACTGTAGCGTGGTAAGAACCTCCCTCAGCTCTTCCATTTGGTCCCAATTGGGACTGTAAACCAGAATGTCATCAAAAAATACCAAAACAGTTTTTCTTAATAATTCCGTGAATACCTGGTTCATTAAGGATTGAAATGTTGCAGGAGCATTACACAGTCCAAAAGGCATAACCAGGAACTCATAGTGACCATTATGAGTCCTAAAAGCAGTCAAGTATCCGTGTCCAGGGGCCATTATTATCTGAAAGTAACCTGAACGCAGATCAATCTTAGAAAAGAATTTAGCCCCATTTAACTCATCTAGAAGCTCATCAATAACAGATATTGGATAATCATGCTTAATAGTAAGACTGTTTAAATACCTATAATCAACACACATCCTCCAACTCCCATCTTTTTTTTAACCAACAGTACTGGAGATGAAAAGGGGCTCTTACTAGGTTGAATTTCACCCGACTGTAGTAGTCCTGCCACTATCTTTTCCACCTCAGATTTCTGATTATGAGAGACCCTGTAAGGATACTGTTGCTTAGGTAGACTTCCAGGTTTAAGAGATATTTGGTGTTCAATGCCCCTATTTGGGGGTAGGGATTGTGGTTCTTCAAACACACTCCCAAATTTTGCCG